CCCCGCCCCCCGCCCCGGCTGGGCCTCATCCCCCCGCAGCCCCATGGCCGCCTCCCCGGGGCTGCGCTGGCCCAGGCCCAGGCCCCGGAGCCCCGGTGGAGGAGGGGGGGGGGGGGGGGGGGGGCGGGGCCCCCCCCCCCCCCGCCGTTCTGGGGCCGGTGCTCCCGCCTGTGGGAGGGCTCCCGCCCGGCGCGGCCCGGCTGTTGCAACTTCTCAGGTGCTCGGAGCTGCGGTGCAGGTGACAGCGCTCAGGCTCGGGGGCGGGCGGCCGGCAGCGCCTGGCACGGCTGTCCCGCTGGGTTGGGGCGTAACGTGAGGAGATTATTTCCTTTACGTGCCATTTCTTCTCTTAAGGCTGCTTGGCATATGTGCCAAACTTCAGTTGTATCGCTGAACGTTTTGCTATCAATTTCTATGGGGCTAAGTGTTTATCCTTGCCTCACTTAATGAGATGGCCCTTACAACAAATGCCCAAACATGAAATGATGCTGATAACCGATACCGCCTTGGGGATTTGGCTTTTTCTCTCACTCTATGTCGTGGTTCTTGGTTTGGGGCGGGGGACGCAGTGGAGCGGATGAATGGTGGACTGGAGAGGTGGCTGGGATCTGTGATGCTCCTCCAGTGCTTTTTGCCTTTAGGAATGTTATGCTGAATTTTCACATGGAAGAACAGAAGTGTGAAGAAAAACTTGAAGGCGGCATAAAAAGCCGACATACAAAAAGTAGAATGTGTTCCATTACACTTCTTGTGTTAGCTTCAGTGTAACCCATTATGGATTTTCAAGAGTACAATACATTGCTATTGTGATTGTACGTGATTTTTATGATTATTTTCTAAGACAACAGCTCATTAGCAAATAGTGCTGCTGCTGACTGTGTACCTGCACCTCTATCTTTAATGTGCGGTTTGAAGAAATTTTTCCACTTTATCTTGTAGGCTTGTGTTCTTTTTTGTTTTCACACACATTGCAGAGCTGTGGTGATTGAGATACTGAGAAAAGAAGTTTTGGTGTTTTGTTTTTTTTTTTTTTTTTTAAAAGAGTGTTGTATAGGGTCATAGTGCCTTACAGGTTTGTATAAGTCAAATTTCCTTCTTCAAGAGGTTTTTATCATCCTGAAGGCTATGTCAAGAACTAGTGTAATAAATAATCCTGATACAAATTATTATTAAAAAGAAATGTGTTTCTTACAGGTACCTGCAAAGAAACAATGGCGACAGAATCTCCACGCCGCCCCAGTCGATGTACTGGAGGAGTGGTTGTTCGCCCGCAAGCTGTCACGTAAGCACATTCTAGAAGAATAGCCCTTATTTGAAATTTTTTTTTATCTTCTTGCAGAAGAAGAGCCTAGCCTGAATTTTCTTTCAAAGCCAGCTGTGAGGGCTTGTGTTGACAGCACGGTTTTGTTGCACTGAGTATTTTCCAATAAGATAAAGTAAACAGATGTTGCATTCCTGTCTCCTAGGACTCTGCAGGTCAAACTGTCTCCCTAAATGGGATGCTTTTAGCTTAATACACCAAAACCTTCAAAGTGTACATTTTAAAGATGAATGCTTTATCTTGCAATGTTTTGTTGTTTACACAATTTTGCTGTACAAACACTACACTAGCTGTAGATCAATGATGACAAACTTCTTCCTTAGGCTAGAAGGAACATGTGGAGCATGTTCCTTTCTTGCTGCTCTTTTTAATAATACTTTGTCACAGGGGTGGATATATTAAAACATATAAGCCTGTCATTAAATTCCTTCAATAAGTAGAATTGTGAATTCTAAATTTTTTTTGCTTAAGAGAACAAAACCGAGAACAAAGGAAGAAGCTACCTCTCTCCAGTCAGAGCTCATAAGAGACCATTTTTTTGCTTGGGCGTCCTTATTTTCATTGTGCTCACGTGAAAATACCTTCATGGCAAAAGAGCTTAGTAAGACAGTCCAGAAGATTCATGGTCTCGTCTTTGTCTGTTAAAGGATTTTTTTTTTTGTAGCAGTTTTTCTTTTTTTCTGGGGATGTTTATAGTGCTGAACTGTTGCTGCAAAATGGCGCCGTATTGAAATGTTCACTTGTACTCTCAGTTTCAGCAGCTATTAGTTTGCTGTGTATTTCAGCATCAAGATTCACTTTATTTTTTCCAGGGAGCACAAGAAACCTATCATTGTAACACAGAAAGTTGTGTTAGAGGGTTGTCTTACAGCTGTGTGATAGAATAAGCATTTTTTTACATTGCTGAATTTCTCAACAAATGCATTTCTGTTTGTAATGGCCTTTTCTCAAAGTACACTTTAAAAATATAATAACAGAAAAACACTGTAAGAATAAGATTAATTATCTGTTCTTGTGTTCCGTTAAATATGGTGGCTTGTTCTTGAGGTATATCTTTTCACTTCAAAAATTTCAGTCTTTTTGATAAGAGTTTGTGTATGTATGTTGAGCAGCCTGCAGCAGCATTCTGCTGCTCATGTTAAATTCCTAGATTCTTACTA